TCCTATCATATTGTTTTATAGGATTGTCCCCATTAACTGCTTGCAGGAAAATGGGACTTCGAACTAGAGTTTTATAGAATTACTGTGCAGGACTCATAATTTCTGTGGCATGCCCTTTTGTAGAAGTACAGATTATCATCTTTCCGCTGCAGTATGACATATTTCTGCTGTTTATGCTCTTTGCTTGGCTTTTTGTTTCAGTCCTTCATGGATGTGCAATTTCCAAATGGACAATTGACATATGTTGCTGGTGAGGGGATAACAGCAAGTGGTTTAATCCCTTTATTTGGCGGATTACTCCAAGCACATGGAAAGTGTCCTGGTGATACAAGAGTGAGCTTCTCTTTCAAGGTTAGTATATGCGTAAGCATGCTACCTGTAGCATCACTTAATCCTCTTGAGATATGTTCCTAATTACTTCACCTGCCCCTTCTTATTTCTACTCCATTTCTTTTGAAGAACAAACAAGGTACTAGGTTCACCCCAACGTTTCAGTGGCCTGACAATTCCGTTTCATTTGGAGTTGCACAAGCTGTAGCTTGGAAGAGGTCTGGCCTTATGGTGAGGCCCAGCATTCAAATCAGGTAGATAAATATAAGCACTTGCTCAGAGTTATAATTAGCATTTGCTTTTCAAGATAAATGAGGTTATTCTGAGTAGCTTAGTAAAAATGTGGCCTGCTGTTAGTCACAATACAGTGACATCTTCTGTTGGATGCATCATCTTGTAAATATTTTTGTTGGTCAGGAAAGCTTTGGCAGATATACTACATTCTACTATAGAAGACAACCTGAGAGCTTGTTCATTGATCTTGCTTATGTCATTTTACTTTTTGGCCTTCTTTAAATGAGTACAAACATGGGTGGATATTTAAGTGTCTTTTGGGTTTTCACTACTGTGGTTCTCATGCCATTGTATCAATCCCTTCTTTCCAAGTTTATTTTAGTTGCACACTTCTGAACTTATTAACCAAAGTACATGCACCAGTGTTTGCCCCACTTTTGGAGGAAGTGATCCTGGAATATGCACCGAATTTGTCCACTCTTTGAAAGACGAACTCAACGTAATGTGTGGTTTCTCTTGCTCAAGACATCCCTCAGCATTCACAGCTCTCTCTGTAAGCACTCCACCTCTTCTCATGTATAATAAGTTGCCTGTAATTGAATTGCACTGTGCACACCTTACCGCGAACTGAGGCCTCGAATGATGCTTTGGCAGCTTGGGCGATCCAAATGGAATGGCCAGGTCGGCAGTTCGGGACTAGTGATCACCTTGGAGACACCCCTTGACAACATGGCAAGGCCTTCTTTATCTGTTCAATTGAACGGGGGTTTTGAGTTCTGACGCCCCCCCGTGAGCTCTGGATACAACTGTATATACTGTATCTCATTTCGAGAAGATGATACCACTGTATATATTGCACGATCCCCGTAGACATATAGCTGTGTTTCAGTAGATATCTTCCCAACGAGTGAAGTGTGTAGTCCTAAAAAACAGAAAATGGCCTACTATTTTGGTCCACTATGAATAAATTCGAAGGCTCATATTTCGTGCGTTACAACTATTTGTCTTAATAACAACTATACTCCTATGTCAATCTTTTGATACGTGTCATTTTCTTTTTACCATTTATGCGATATACAGAAGGTCGTCACATCGATCCTATCGAATGTGAGACAATGAGAGTGAGGGTCTGCCTGGCCCAATTCAATTGGAGTGACTCTTTTTTACACGCTCTGGTACCAGAACAAGGCTCACGTTCGTATTCAAAATATATGCATATGCTGGTTGACAGAATTTTGGCTAAAATTGGCTGAAAACACTATTATGGCTAAATTGTTGTGAGAGAAAAACACTGTTCCGGCTGAAAAAAGAAGCTGAACAAGTCGAATATGGGGTAAGCCGCGTGTGAAGACCCGCAAATGATGTTATTGTACGTCGTTGGGACACGTGGGCAAGCGGATGCAGGCCCTTTTCATTACGCGTTGAAGATCCACCTATTATACAAGTGCATATTCATACTTGTGCAGAGGCCACCAGGTGGCCTTCCTCCTATTGGCCAGCACATGCCAGGGTAACACCGGCATCGTTTGAAAGTCATGCAAGCGAGTTTCCTATTAGACGCGTGTCGTATTTACTAAATGACCTTACATATAAAATATCGAAACTAGAAGAGATTGAAGGCAAGGTTGTACAACATATTATTACCATGTAGTTTTCAAGGGTGCTCTCTCTGGATGGACGTCGACCCTTGCCGTCTGATTTTAGGGGTCCTTGCCATCTGACTCAACGTTAGACGGGCCAGGTGAAGGTGGCTTAAGGCGAATCATTATTGTGGACCTGTGCAGAGACAACACTGCACTTGAGATGTTATATCCATGCTTTCGCATTGGCTGCAACTTAGGGAGATTGATGTCCATAATCTCTCCGGTAGGGGTTTGAGGACCCAAAGATTAATGTTATGCTGCGGTGCATTGGCCACAACCTAGACTTTTCTCTGGTCATACTTAGAGTTAGATCCATTTTTCATCATATAGTCGTGCTACTAATCCGTTGTCATTACGATAGCCGTGGGAGTGCATCACCTTGTGCCTCCTTCCTCCATGACAACACCAGTCACGTCTCACGTCAACATGACTGTATTCTGTGACAAGATGATTGCTTTTCTATTCAGTTAGGGCAGGCGCAATGTATGTCTCAGATGGCATTAGGGCCGGGATCCATCCCTGGCGGCATTAGCTATGGTCTGGTCAACAATGTTTACTGCGCATGAAGGAGATAAGGTGGGATTGGCTCACTAGAAAAAAGATCATCTAACCACCCATAAAGTTTGTTGTGCGAGAAACCGATCCCCAATCCTCTTAGAGAGGAGAGAGTTAGGTTATAGCGCCAACAAAATCCTTCGAATCCACTCTAGCAAGCGAGTAGAGACGTGTGGGGGCTGAGCGAAGGGCGCATGGCATGGTAGTTCAGAAAGCCTTGGCCTTTGCTGGCACCTGCAATGGTGAGATCCACCATGGTAAGCAAGGAGGAGGGCCTGCCACGGTTGTGCGTGCAAAGAAGGCACTGGCGTACCACCGGAGAAAAAGGTAGATCCTCTTTTAAGGATTCTACACCATTTGGGTTGGTCCTTCAGATCCTTCCTTTAGATCATATCATCAGAGTATCCCCTAGTGAAGGTACTCCAAGCTTTCGAATAAAACCCTCTAGTTTCTTCTCATTGCCTTTTATGGGATCAACATAGTTGTTCAACCAAGAATTTAATAATCTTACATTGTCATCTTCAGTCCAGTTGATGTGTGTTCCTCTTCTTCCATCCTCTTCAATGTTCTAACTTAACTCTTGACTTGAGTTTCATGTTTGTCCTTTGGACTTGTAAGACATGGAGAAGCTGACTCTGATCCATGGGAAGAACTGTTGGCTACAACCTCAACCGAAATACTGGATTGCATACTAAATTGTGATCTATCGGAATATATGTGAGCGCACTAAAATTTATTGAACACCTCCCCCCACACACACACAATTTCCTTATTAGTGAGCACATTGAAAGATTGGAGGAGGGTGGCTATATGGCTGGTAATTGCTAGGAGGACTAGAAGGTGGAAATTCTGGAGAAAATTAGGGGCGAAGTACTGCTGAAAACAGGAAACTAGGTAGGAGGGGAGGTTTGGCCATCGGTCTCTCTGGTTTGTGAGGTTTCTATTGAGATGTCCATGTAGTGTGTAGTGAAACTAATGGAATAAAGTTTGTGTTGATGTGTTTCTGATGGAATCATGCATCTATTTTGTAGGCATCACTGGGTTGAAAGTAGAGGAAGCCAACGACTAGCAAGGTGAAAGCTAATGGATAGGATGTCAGGCACCAGGCCAACGTCCGGAAGCCAACGATTATGTATTTTATTAGACTGAACAATAGATCAAAACAATTGTGCTCTATTGCCTTGTGGCTGCACCTTAAGCTTGTGGTCCATTTTTGTTGTCATGTGTTTGTGGTCATAATCCACAATTACTAAGGCCTTGTGTTTACACGGCTCTACTTTATTAGTGAAACTGTTTTGGTGAACAATTTGACGAAACAATTTTATATGTGAAGCTATTTGAAATATGCTCTCGCAGAATTCTCCGCAAGGCCCATCAGAGTGAGTGGGAGCTAGGACAAGCTACTATTTCAACTCCATCTTACATCCACTCTTTGGAAGAGCATGTTTTAATTAAGAAGCTCCTCAAGTAGAGTTGTTTTATTTTACGCTGTTTAGCATAAAATAGCTCAAAAAAGAGACGTACCAAACGGGATTTATTATGTATTACTATTGCCATATTAAATACTTAAAGTTACTTTTTTTCTCTCAATTGTGGTTGCTCTTGTGGTCACGCTAGGTCATCATTGCCAGCACGGTGTGAAAAGGTCTTATGTACATCTGCTCTCAGTGATGCGCACGGCGATGTCATATCTTGGGCCTGTCCTGATCGTGTATTGGCTCTGCCTGTAGAAGGGGAGTGCCGTCTCACAGATAGCACGTGTTTATTCACCCAGGAACAAGACACCAATTTTTAGCACACCGTGCCAAAATAACGCCAAAAAGGTGGGCACCGTCGCTGAGCGGCCGAGACATCAAAGCGAAGCGACGATGGCAAGCGCCGAGCACAACGCTACCGAACACCTGACCGGCGCAACTGCCAACTAGCACGACAGGGGAGCTCTGCCGCCGACGTCGTCAGCAGCGTTATTATCTAGTGCATCGCGTTACACTTTTTACAGGCATGAACTTTTCACTGTTTTCAGCTTGGCCATGCACAAGCACGTACACCTTATTCGACTCTTTCAACATTTTGGATGCATGTGTCATTGGCGTGCTTTGTTTTATCTCAAGAACTGAAAAAAAGAAAAGAAAACGTACAAGCAGCAGTAGCGAAAGCAAAGAAATCGATCGCGCTGGAGTCCCCAGCGCAGCTGCACACTGGTACACGTCTACACGAGCACCAGGCAGTGAACTGTGGCTAGTGCCCGACGCCTGGACTGGGCACGGACCGCATCAACCGCGCGGCCCTGCCGGCGGCCGCGAACCCCTTCGGCACCGGGGCCGCCGCCACGGGCTCCTCGCCGACGACGACGCTAGGTGGCGGTGGCACTCTGAGCACCAGGCCGCCCTCGAAGTACATCACCTTGCCGCCTTCCTCTTCGGCCGCTGCCAGCAGCTCGCGGCCTTGGCATGGCGAGCAGCGAGACAGCAGCAGGAGCAGGCACAGGGCAAGGCACGCCCGCACGGCCCGCAGCGACGATGATGACGCAGCCGCCTTGCCGCCGATACTACCGCTGCGTGAACCCATTGGATTGCTGGACCTCGAGGTGGTGGGCGGCCGGCGTTGCTTGCTCTGCTCTGGTCGTTGGAACTTGGAACTTGGAAGAGTGGTGGCTCGGCCTTGCACAGCTGCACTGCTTATAGCCGGCGGCACGGCACCTGCTTCTGCTTCGTTGCTGCTGCAGACAGGCTTTGATGATGGGCTGCTTTGCTGGTGGCGATGGGGCCGAGCGCCGCGCTGAATTTATAGGCCCGCGGCGCGGGGAGATTCCTCGTCTCCGGTGGAGAACTCTCCGCGACTAACTGCCGGCCACCAAACTAGTATCTTTCTCTACAGACGGCAGCTGGGTTCTCAACTTTTCAGCTCATGTCTTTCTGTAGTACTCTACCAAAGCAGGAGTGTTAAAGCTGCCGAAGTGGAATTCCCGGTGTTCTTTTTTAACGGACGGCCGATGCAGAGGTGATGACTGCCAATCCAATCTGAACATGTCAACCGTCTGACTAACGAGTTCTTTTGTTATCGGAGATAACAACATGAGCAGTTAGTTCGAACGTGTAACTGATTACTTTTTACGTCAAGTGTTCTAACCAAACTACATTTGGCAAACATGCAGCATCTTCAGTACAAAGCTTGCGCGAATCCTCACTTCCTCAGTTAAGTATGCGACGACGACTTCTCCAAACAATATATATAATATTGAGGGGCTACTAGAGCTGATTGCTGAAAACGAATATATAAACAGTTAAACACTCGTGTGTGGGGTGCGTGTGCGTCAGCGACGGAGTTCTTGACCTATGACTATGAGGAGAGCTCGAGAGGAGGATCACAAGTAAGTAACCTAGCCAGCAGCTGCGAATCGGGATGTCGGCAACTCGGCATGTGCTAGCCACCGGTTGCCACGGGAAAAAACCGAAGGAATCGCGGGCGAAACGGACGGCAGCCAGCGAAAGGAAGGCCAAATGCCCAAATCTGATTCGAGAACGCATTGCAGGGAGGGAGAGCGGCCAGGATTAAACACACATCCGGCCATTGCTGTGTTCTTCTGTGTTTCTATCTGCTCCATCGCGTCCTCGTGCAAGCCGATGCAATCAGGCGTCCTCGTGGAAATGGCATATTCGCTCGTTGCCTCATGCATCCTCTGACTTAGTATAAACCTTGTTTTTTTCCTTTTATATAAGACGAACCGTGGGTGGGTTTTTTAGGTTATCATGGCCGACCGTGATAGATTTGCAAAAGGGAAGGAAGCATGGGAAAACAATGGCTCACAAAGTTCAGCAAATGGGCATTTATTTGCATCGTTGATTACGTATTTAGTTTATCACAGGATTACTCAACCTGCTTCGCAGAGAATATGCCAAGAGACCAAGACTACTCATTGCTAGGGCCAAGATCTTTCATGTCGGTGCGAAAAGTGACCAACATGTAAATATTTGTAGTTTTATCGTGCGTTGTGATCGGATGTGGCCTAGCACTCAATGGTCCCGTTCGCTTGGAGAAATTTGAAGGAATCTGGATGAATCTGGAGAAATTTGTGAGAGGAAAACACCGTGCTCGAAGTTTGCTGTGGGGTTACCAACGAGTAAGAATGAAAAGGGGGGTGTTAGAGGCCCGGTCGGACTCTGAATCGAGTGGCCGAGAGTGACGGGGATCTAACGTATGCTAAGTATACGGAGTGTATGCTCTGTGTGTCTCAAGCTTGTTGAGTTGTTGTGTTCTCGAGTCGTTGAGAGTCTCCGAGAGATAGCCAGCGTCGTTTTTCAGGAAAGAGCGCACCCCCTTTTATAGTTGAAAGGGATGGCCTTACAGGCCAGAGAGAAAGAGAGAAAGTGTATACGTGTGCTGCCTAGTCTTGTTGCTCACGACATCGGATACGGGATGGCTATCAGCGCCCACAATACTGTTTATGCCCAGACGCGTCTGGCAGGTTCTACCGTGTTCGTCTGGTACGGCAAACGTCGGCGCCCACAATACTGTTTGTGGTCTGACGCGTCTGAAAGGTTGTATAGTGTGGCAGAACCTCCTAAGAAATCGGACCAACGTGCACCTATCGATGTCACAACCGACCTCAGATAGCGTACACAAGTTCCCAACAACTTAAAAGGTCTGTCGGGTGTCCTCGGGAAACCCGAATCATCCACGAATCTTTTCCCAACAGGATCCCAATCACAATCATTGCAGATTACAACAGTTTTCAATATACATACCAGAGATTAAAAAGCGGAAGACTTAAGTTTTAATATTACAAACCAGTGGTTTCAAACTTACAAAACCATAAGTGTCATACTACCATAGTAGTGGGATAATATTATATTAACATTATTTATTTCACACAAACTAGTGCCTTGTCCAAAGGCCATTCATCATTCCTCATCATCATCGACTTCAAACACTGATATGCAGCAGGGACCAAAACAAGCCTGCGCATACGACTCACCTGCAACAAGGGTTAACAAACCCTGAGTACAAAAGTACTCAACAAGACTGACCTGACGTAAAAGGGGGTGAAGGACTTTAGAGATGCAGGTGTTGGGTCAATGTAAGGATGTAGCAAGATTCAAAAGTTCTTTGCCAAAAGCTTACTATTCTTGATCCTATTTTCAAGTTTTTCCCCTAAGTCTTCTTAGTTCATTATCTCAAACTAAGTGTTCATATCCCATGTTCCAATCCTTCTTATTCCATTCTTTTTCTCATGTTTTAGTAATTCACCAGTCCTGCATTGCTTCTGTAATGAATCGAGTCTCCATATCCGCGGAGCACCGGTAATTCGAATTGATTCAAGTCCCAACTGAAGATTCCTTATCACACGACATATGTAGAACTTAATCTTACATATATCAACCTTGCTACCGGATCCTCCTATACTAAGCCGTCTCCACGCTACCCGAGAGCACAACACGCCTCAAATCCGGCTACATCCAAGCCACGAGGGTACACGCTACTCCCGCCATCTCACCGCTCCCAGTGTGTGGGCATTCGTCTTAGTATCGGATTAACCGAAGTAGGCTTACCGGAGTATGTGACCAGTACTACAAAGTGTCTCGTTCAGAAGATCCACAATGAGTGGCCTTTAAGCGACATAGTCGGCAACATTACCCAACATTCAAGATAAGCCACCCGACTAGTCTCTAGTTCATTCTATCTTCTTTCTTTCTTTCTTTGGCCAGTATGCCATCTTTGATTGTATCAAAACTTTTACTTTGAAAGCCTACCACAAAGCATACTAAGCAATTCTACGCCTTTGTAAATGAAATCATCTTCAAGGATGGTAAACAATTAACAAGGTAGTCAATGCATCAAATAGGTAACATTTGAATTAATCAACTTAATGCAATAAGTAACATAGGTGATAAACTTTTCAAAGTAAACAAGGTAATGGTTTAATGCATAAACCGGGGCTTGCCTTCGTTGACGATCTCGGGTTCCGGATCAGTACCACAATTATCGAATCCCGTGACAACCGGGGATTCTTCCACAACTTGCTCAACTAGAATCGTTTCACTCTCAGATTCTACACGAAATAATAACATATGCTTCAACATGATGATAATGTAAACATGATGCTTTCATGCTGCATGAAATATAATAACACCTTGAATACAACTTTACTTCGCGGTATAGTTGCAAGTCAACAAAACTAATTGACACTAACAGCTAGGGTTTATGACCTAAGTGACTTGACCAAATTGATCTTGAAACCCTACTGGTCACAAAACATGACCCAAACAAGATCAAACCCTAACCCTAACACTTAGGGTTTGCTTTTATTCATTTTTGAATTAATTTGGAAATAAGTCCAAAAATAAACTTGTTCCAAATGACCTAAAATTTTTATATAAGCTTCCTCATGATAAATTATTGTACCAAAATAAATTTCATAATTTTTGGAGTTATACAGGGGCCTACAAAAATTATGGAAATTACATTTATCAATTAATTGACTGAATTTTTGAACATTAAAAATTTATTCAAATTGCAAGTACCAAAACGGCGACGACCAAAGTACCAAAACGCTCGCAAAGACTAGGCGCATCGATCTGTGGCATTTCGAAGGTTGATTATGACACGGAACAAGACTGACGCCGACCATGGCGGACACAGTGGCACGGCAGCGTTACGCTGGCGAAACAAGGCTGGTAACAGTGAAACAAAGAGTCCAGGAAGCATCAGGGACTCACCCCGGACGTGTTGAAGCAACGAGCGAGACCGGAGAAGCTCTGGTGACGCGTTTCGACGGTGACAGTGATCACGGCGGAGCGGACCTCGTCGACGACGGTGTTCCGGCGACTGCAGTGGGCAAAACAACCAAACAAGAGTGGATTAAGCACTACAACATCGAGACAAAACTGTAGCGACCCCAAGCAAGGGCAACAGCTCACCGGATGGTGCTGACCGCGGTGAAACGGAGTTTCGGTCGAGGTCGCCGGGCGCGAGGAAGAAGGCTCGCTAGCGACTGTTCTTGGTGGAGTCAAGTGGTGGCAACAGGTCGGTTGGAGGCGCAAGGAGCAGGCGAAACTGAGACACTGCTTTTCCGGGGCTATCTTGCGCTGAGGAGGCGAGGAGAGCTCGCCGGAGCTGAGGCGGCGGCGTCGGGAAACAGAGGAGAGAAATCAAAGTCGACGACGGCGTCGGAGCTTTATAGCGCGGCCAAGAGTGCGAGGGAACGACACGCAGTGAGCTGCTCGTGCCAGCGCGAAGCCGAGGGCGGCCACGGGCGCGCCTGGAAGGCCGGAGAAAGGATGCCGGCGGTGGGGCGGTGACCGTGTACTGTTCCGAATAATTACAAATTTGCCACTGAGTTCATTTTGCAAATTACTCTCAAATTTTCTAAAGAAGATGAAAATCTCCAAAAATGAAAGTTGCTCAACTTTTCAAACTCTACAACTTTGTTTCAAGGAATATTTTCAAATTCTTCCTCCATTTTAAAATTTGAATTTGGGGTGCATTTGAGCATTTGAATCATTTCAGAATTACTCCAAATTTTATATGTAAACTTTCAAAACTTTGAATAGCAAAGTTGATCCTTATAA